TCCTTTCCTAGTCTGCAAGAAACAGAAATTTGTGCTATAGGAATTGAAGAAGCAAAAAATGAAATAACTTTTTTTAAAAAAGGAGGATTAGGAAAAAAAATGTTTGAGATTATAGATTCTCTTGGATGCAAAATTGCATCGCTAGGATGGTGAGTGAAACCTCCCTGCTGAACTGCAAAATGTTTTGAGAATTCTTTACATAAAACTTCATTGCATTTCCAGAGTGCCCCATTGGTTTTAATCTCATTGAATTCCTAAGTGCCTTTGATACAAGAGTTATGCAGTAGAGTAGGGATTTTTTTTTCCTTAGTTGCCAATTTATCTCTTCAGTTGATTTTCAAACTTGGATGAATCTACAGCCATGAACTCTCTACAAAGAGCCAGGTTAAGATTTGTCTTTGGATAGCTAATGTAGTTAGACATTTTTGAGAAAAAGGAATGAGAAGTGGTCATTATCCATTATCTGCATGAAATATTTCAGAGAAAGAAACAGCTTTTGCCAAACAGAAAAAGATGTTTGAGTTGAAGCCAGACAAGAAGGAAACAAGATCACCTTATAGCACTGTGAGACTGCTCTGCTAATGACGTTTTTTCAAGYAAAATTGGAATATATGTATGAAAAAGTGCAGATGGTGCATGGGTTTTTACATGGATTAGCAGTGTTGTTCTGGACAATGATTCACTGTCCCTTTTCTTGGCAGAAAATAAATTTTCCAGTCTTGGAAAGAAACATGTGTATGTATTTTAAGAAATGTTTCTTTATGTGGAAAAAAAGAGCAAATTTGAGTGAAAATAGCATCCACTGGTGGAAAAGTTAGCAGTAAAAGTGCACACTTCAAAAAAAAATGTATTCACACTCTACAGTCCAAGGTCAGAAGTGGTGTATAATGTGGTGTAAGTTAGAGGTTAGTGAGGGGTGATGAGGGACTGAAAGTCAATACTGTGTTCAACATCACTGCGAACCTGGCTCAGCATTGCCTGTGGAGTTGACTCAAGGTTTCAAGATAAATGTAGATGGAGTTTTAGATCCATAATTTCTAAAAAGAGTTTTGCAGGTGCATGAACTGGAACTTCTTTTAATTACACTACAGAAATATATTAAAAATATCTAAGAAAACTCTATTCTCCAAAGAGCAAATACCAGCTTTTTACTTTATCCTTGTCCTAGAGAATCAGATTAAGTTATCTG